AAAATAGGAAGAAAAGGTCCAAAGGGGTAGGGGTAGTGGGAGGGGCAGGGGAAAGGAAAGAAGGGAAAGGAAAAATGATGAGAAATGGAAAAAAGAGAAATAAAGTCTTTGTAAATAGGGAAGGGTAGAGGGCATGAAGGGAAGGCTAGGAAAAAAATATTTAGCTCTTAAAATTTATTCACAGATCATACTGCTAGAAATGTTGTCAGAGTCCAATATATGAATTCATGTAGGATATGGGACATTAACTAAATTGAGTCCTAATTTTAGGCAGCTAGATGTTATTCCTAGCATTTATCTTTCTAGTTGTACAAATAAATCACTTCAATTCAGGAGTGAGATCAAAGTACATGCAAACTTTCATGAAGTTCTATAATGTTCATCTACTTCACAAAGGATGCTTCAGATATATTTATACACAAACATCTTTGATCCTGCTTTTATTCCATGCATGCTTGTATCTGTGGATGCACGTATGCACCCATCCAAACATACATTGTTTAGAAAAGAAAGGATGGGAGATTATAAGTGTATACTGCTTTAAGAGATGGAACTAGCCCATGAGCAAGTGCAGTGTTCAGCTACCCAGTGTTTATGGCTTGAAAATGACTAAAATAACTCCATATTTAAATTATCTTTCACTGTTACCCAGCAGACAAAACAGCACCTTCACATCAGTAATTTGACATTTATCTTCTTGAAACCTTGGCAGGTAAGTTTTGCTGGGTTTTAAGAAGGTTTGAGCATGCAGTGCTACCAATTACTTGCACAGTTGGGTCAAATGAGAAGGTACTGCAGAAGCCTTGGGAAAGCGGAGAGGAGGAAAACAAGCCCTGGTTACTCAGTGTTCACAGGGAGGCCTGGCCTGGACAAGACAGAACTGTGCCATATGGTGAAAGACTTTCTACTCTGCAGCCTGCCCACAGCCAGACACTGCAAGAATTTCCCTGTGCAACACTGAAGGCTTAAGGGTCTTCCCTTAGACATATCATCCAAAGACCTACAAAGATTTCTCTTCCTACTTCGAGGTGCTGAGAGTAAGAAAAAATTAGAAGTTCTCAGTGATAGGATTCAAGGATTATGACATAATAACCACCTTGTTTGGTGAGTCTGAGAAAAAAGTTTTATGGATGAGGGAGCATTTACATCTTTATATTGAGCTGAGATCTGCCATCAACTAGATCAATCACCATGAATATCTTAGAAGCAATAGAATATAAAACAAAACAAGATAAAAGGACTTCAATGCACTTAAAACCTTTCATTATGTTTTAAGATTTACAGTTTAGTACATTCTGAACATGACAACAATATAATTAAAGTTAAGGGAAATAAACTTTGCCTTCGAGTATCATATAATACTAATATAAAAAACAAATGAGATTGCAAAATGTAAGTATTCAATGTTTTTATAAAGGCTTCTTTATCTCAATCCCCATAACTATTTAATTATGACGACAAATATAAGATATACAATGAAATGCAGCTACTGTTTTCAAAGGAAGATACAAAAATGTGCTTTTTTTACAAAGGGTTGCTATTGCCTAGGAACCAAAAATATATGATTCACCCAAGGACAAGCAGCTCACCTGCAGGATGGACACCGTCTGGGAGAAGTGGTGCTGCTCCATTGTGGAGGTGGAGTACAGTGCTGCCAAGGGGTGGTCGAATTTCTGCAGATAGGTGTTACTAAAGCCCCTGTGGTCCAGGTCATGACACAGGCAGGCGATTAGCAGTCCTTTGCGCTTAAAGAGAAATGTAGATATTTTCAAATCAAAGTAAATATGAGGAAACTTGCATATCACAGTAATTCTGCCAGTTCTATATCCAACACCCTTAAGAATCTTTGAAAGTTTAGATTTCTCTGCATATAAACTTGACTGTCGAATCATTCTTGAGTTTTCCTGGTCAACTCTATTAACAGATACAGGAAGTATCAAATGCTCCAAAGAATTACAAATAAAGCAAATCTGCACAGGTAAGGATTAGGTTCAATTCTTCGTTCAAAAATCTAGGTGAGGTGAAAGTCAATCCATGCTATTGCCATTATAAACAAAGACTAAAAAAAAATCATATAGCATGTAAAAATGGCATAGAAAATGAGGAGAAAGTTAAAGGGGATTGAGGAGGTAGGCTGAGAATTATATAAGGTCAGAACAGAAGTCTCAGGAAGGTCAGATGTGACTACAGATTCTAGGACAGTAAGATCAGGAAGAGTGACAGTAAGAGAAGGCTTTTGCAATAATCAAGGCAAAAATATAATGAAAATTCACAAGAGGATGTTTATAACAATGAAAGCTTCTAAAATGTGATTAACATCTTTTTTAGGCAGAGTCAACAAATTTTTTGACTGTCTATGAAAAGAAACAAGAAGCTTGGGGTCAAGCATATTCCAAGTTATCTGGCCGTAATGTGCAAGGACTACCATTCACTGACACAGGAAAGCTGCGGTAGGCAAGTGTGAGGAGTCCAGGTGGACTGAGAGGAGATGTCTGACTAATGATCAATGGAGATTTTCAGTTGAGAACTGACTATGTCTAGAGTTCTGGAGTCAGCCTAAACTGAAGAAATGAAACAGTGGCACTTAGGGCCAGAGGATTTGAGAGCTACCAATATTGCAGTTTGAGGAGAGAAGAACTAAAAGGGTGAGCCCTTAAGCATTTCTGAGGAAAGAGAAAGAATCAGCAAAAAGAATCCAAAAACAAGGTAAGGCAGGAGCAGCCCATGTGATCCCAGAAAAGTCAAGAGTTCCAGGTATCCTGGGAAGTAAGTGAACATACTGAATAGCGAGGAAACCTTAAGCACCAGCCTGAATCCTCTGGGATATTGATTGAGATCAGAAGTCTGATCAGAATTGCTTTCAGAAAGCAAAGAAAGAAGAAATTTGGAGAGAGACAGTGTAGCAAGCAACCCTTTGGTAAACTGTGCTGAAAAGAAGAACTAAGAAACAGAGAGGTAGCTGTATTGTAGCTAAGATAGTTAGAAAATATTATAAAGCAGTTAGGCAAGGCCAGCCCTCAGCATAGAAAACAATTGAAACACTTTTGCTAAAGGATCAGGATTCAAAAGAGAAGAACTACTACACCCACATACTTCTCCTAGGGATGAATAGCAGTGATTGATATTCTAAATAGGTGTCAAACATCTTGGGTGGGGACAAAAACCTCATCCCATTCCTTCCAGGGAAATCCTTGTTAGGTCCATGCGTGTGTGACTAGCTTCCCCATTTGATTCTCATTTAATCAATATTACCTAAGCGTTACACTTGTTATAATCCTATTGGTTGATCATAGTTTTGTCCCACCTCATGATTCCCATTGAATCAATATTACCTAAGAGACTATACTTGTAATCTTACTAGTTGACTATAGCTTTGTCCCACCTCGAACCTGCCTCACCTCGTGGATTTGCTCAATATAACACTTTTGAGAAGCGGGGTGGGTGGGCAATCCACTTTCTGGTCCCCCTTCTGTCTCTCTTAGAAGCTATCTTTCTCTCAATAAACTCTTCCTATTCTTTTTTAAAATAAATTTTATTTTATCCCATTCCCTTTCTCCCTTTATGCCCAAATTCTTCCTGTTCTCAACCTCTGTCATTCCCAGAATTCATTCTTCAATTTTAAAGAACATCAACTCGGTGTTTTGAGTATCTCGCAGATTGGAAGTTATTATATTTCCATTATTTGGATTATTTTGCTTATTTGGATTACTCAGTCCCCTATATCATTTGAAGGTCTTCCACTGAGATAACTGGATGGAAGAAAGAGTTCGCTTTTGTTTTATAGATTCTTTCTGGTTTTTTGCTTCATAGATTCTAACTTTTTTTTCCCCCATAGATTCTGTTTCTTGTTTTATACATTCTTTTGTTTCATAGATTTTGTTTTTTTCAGACTCTGGTCTTTTGTCTCACAGATTATGTCTTTTGTTTTATAAATTCTGACTTTTGTTTCAAAATTGTCTTAAATTTCAGGTTGTATATCTTAAATTTTTGTGAATTGCTATTCTCTTATGATGCATTGTCCTTTGTTAAAATTACATTTTATTCCCATTTTGTATATGTTGCATTTGGACTTAGTTGCTGAAGTTGCGTTTCTTTTTTTGTTAGACAACAGGACTAGGGAAAAGGGTAATGTTAGAGCACCAAATACTGGAATTTAATGGTAGCTACAAGTAAATGTAAAAATGCTGTAGAACGGGTCTTTAATCTAGTTTATATTTAAGAAATATACATGCCTATTAATAGATCATGGGACCCCACCCACCAATTAAGAGACAATTGGATGGTGGCTATTCTTAAGACTTGGGGGACAGGTTTCACTGAGACCTGTTCAGTCCTCCTCTATACTCTAGAGAAAATGTTGGGCCCATTCTGCCTCAGTTTTCTTTCTGGTCTTATCTTTCACTGGTGAGGAGGCAATCAGCTTTTGAGATTCTCCATTCTCACCTTTACAGGCTGAGATTGACAAGTCACAAGCAAGTTGTCTCAGTAACTCACCATGAGTATGAGAGGAAAAGACTTCCTTTTCTTGGTCTCATTTCTGACCTTTCCCTGCCATTTTGCACTTTCCATATAGAAGCATGTAAAATTAGAAAGAAGAAAAAGATCCCTAAAACTACCCCAACCTTTTCTCTCTCCCCCCTCCTAAGCCTGGTCTTCACCATTTATGTGTGTAGGGGAGGAAAATACTTTTGCAAATAAGCTTTGGAGTTTAAAACCTTTACTGTAAACTTGTAAAATGCTATTAGTGATTTTGGGGGGGCGGGGTTTAGGCAGCTTGGATTTTTATTTGAACTTTTTCTCTCTGCTACTAAGTTAGAAACTCCTCATTGCGAGTTAACTTCAGAATGAACCACCTTGTAGTCAGACTGCCTCTCCCTCCAAGAAGTCAGGCTGAGGTAGCTTATAAGAACTGTTTGTCTTTCATGGGCTAGTGACTTACCCTTGTGTTTTTTATATGCTAACCAGAATAAAAAGGGAGTTTAATCAGTCTTTTCCTTCATGTGTGTGCAGGGAACTGATAAATGTGATTTTAATAACATGTGAATTGTGGTTGCTAGGAAATGAGTATATGTTTAACCTGTGAAGCTTCAGAGACACAGAAAGTCTACATTGAACCTTGAATGAAGAGTAGCCTTGTCTTGCTAAGGAAGGTTGCCTAGGTAAATAACACAGGTGCCTCAGAGGCCTCTTCGTTAGCAAAAATTCCTCTAAGCCATTTGTTTGCTCCCAGAGGGGATTTCCTTTGCAGGATGAAAAGTGCTGCCCTTTAATCTATCTGCCTCAATCTCTCTCTCTCCTCAAAAATTAGAAAGCAGTGGTTTAGATCTCTTGATTATTGGCTTTGCTAGCAATGCTTCCTTCTTTAAAACATGATCAGTTACAATTAAAATCAATTGTAACATGTGGTTTCGGAATATCTATGGGCTAGAAACAGGAGTTTCCTGGGTAGGATAGGGCTACTGAGCAGGTGAAAGGTCAGGGCCCAACCTATCTTCCTGTTTCCTCCAGATGGCAGCCACCTGCTCTGGAGGGAGTCACCGTGGCGACACTTTGAGAATACAGGAATCAAGTAGAAACATAAAGGGATGCTGATTTATTTCTCTAGTTTCTTTTGGGATCTCAAAGTCAAAGTCACATGGTCTGGCTACCCTGAGCCAAAACAGAATACACAGGGAAGTGTTGATTATGATTCTGTTTCACAACTAGAATCATACTGTAAAGAAAAGGGAAAGTGGTCAAAATTGCCCATGTTCACTTTCTTTGGATTGAGAAGTAATCCTTGCCTGTGTTCAAAGAGTAAATGTAAGCCACAGGAAAACCAGACACCAGGCCCTAAGGCATTCACTACCATTGAGTCTGAGGCTACTCCTTGCCCTTTACAACCTGAGGACAAGGTTTCCAAGGCAACTTTAACCAAAGCCTTGCTCCCTGAGTCTGAGGCTTCCCCTCTCCTCCCTTTGGGTGCTGAGGGTGGAGTTTCTAGGCCAGCCATAATTAAAACCTCTATGGGGCTATATCCATCCTTAGCTAATTTGTTCAGGCCCCTCAAAGACATCCCTTAGACATCCCCTCAAAAACATCCCCTCAAAGATATCCCTCACAGAAAGTAAATGGTAAATATGGGATTACTTAGATTTATGTCTTCTTTCCTCTCAGTGACCTAAGACAGATCAAATGAGACCTAGGAAAGTTTTCAAACAACTCTAAAAAGTACATTGAGGTCTTTAGAGGATTTAGACCTATGAACTAGATTAGAAAGATATGTTACTTTTATATAAAACATTAATTTCTAGTGAGAGATAAGCAGTATTATAAGCTGCTACATTTAGAGATAAATATTATTTTAATTTAAAAAGTCAAAAGACAGGCAGCCAGAGGAATAGGCGATGCCTACTGTAGTACAAGCAGTCCCTATACAGGACCCCACTGGCCTGCCAACCAGATGAGAGATTAGAAGACACTTTCAGTCATGTATTCTTAAATGTATAAGAATGATGAGAACTAAGCCCTTTAGTTATTTTGAATTGTCAACTATCAAGAAAAAAATGAGGACATCCCTAGCTCCTGATTCAATACAAGGAAATACTACAGTTTTTCCCAAGTCACAGTCTTATAATGTATAGATGATACTCCCTGTCATGTACCCCCTCAGAAGAGATCTCTATCCAAGGCACCTGTGCTCTGCTAAATTTTCTAGCAGACAGGGGCTATAAGGTTTCTAGATCTAAGGAATAACTTTACAGCC